CCAAAAGCTGGTTCAAAGACCATGGCACTAATGGGCTTGAATGGCCAGCAAACTCACCTGACCTGACCCTGCAGAGAAACTCATGTATTGTCAAGAAGAAGATGAGAAACACCAGACCCAACAATGCAGATGACCTGAATGCCGCACATAGGCTGCAAAGGTCACTCTCCTCCTGTGAACACTGGACCACTTCAGTCACATGAAAGCAGCCTGGACTTCCATCACACCTCAGCAGTGGCACAGGCTGATGGTCTACATGTCCAATCAAGCGCTGTAATTGATGAAACGGAGGCCCGACTAAGTATTAAACTAATAGAAATTAACATACTTTCCAAAAACCTGACATTTTGGTTTAAAATATCTCTTTTTATCGATCGATTTTTAGAACCAAGGCATTTCTGTATGGAAAACACATTAAACTTGGATACAGATCGGCTGCTGCTTCTGTTAGAAAGGATCAGGAAACTAAGGATGAAAGTCTAACTTAAAAAACAAAAAAGAAAAACATTTTGACTGGCAAAATTTGTACAAGGCTTGCTTGTTTCTTTTTGGCCATTTGGGATAAATAAAGATTAGAACCCAGTAGTTTTTCTGTCTTAGGTGTTGAAAAAATGTCTATGTGTTCTGTAATGTTCAAATCAGCTTGAATGTGACATCCTGCTTCATGTGTAATAAATTCAAGGGCAGAGCTGCTTCTTTGATGTCATGTTTAGATTTTCATATTTTTCTCACATTTTTAAGGCTACATTCCCTACTTGTTTTTTCTGTGCAAACACATCACGGTGTTTTAAGAGTTTCTCTCCTGTGTCCCACTTTCTAGTTTTCACTGTACAAGATATGCTGCAGCTCCCTGCATAATATGCTTCAACTACAAGCTCTCCAATTAACCCAAATTGTACACTGTTTTTTTTTAAGATTTGGATAAATTGTTCCTGTTGAAGAGGAGAGTATGTAGAGATGCTGACTGCAGAAGTAGGACAGATAATTGAAAGGATGATGGAGCTCCGATGGTAGAGACTTTCTGTCGAGGGAAGCAGAACATTCACACTAAAGGATTTTTTGCTGGATGTTGAAATTTTCATGCTAATGAAAAAAAAAACAACAACTTTGTTTCGCTGTTAAATAAGCTTATATGTAAAGGAGAATACAGTACACTGCAAATTCATCCCTATGCATTGATACTCTCAATTTTTCTAAAAAATAAAGTCCAAAAATGAAAGGGTCCACATGTATTTATTACTATTAATTTTGATAGCCCTAAATAAGATCCAGTGCAACCTTGGTCCCTCAGAGTCCATCTGTGAGTTATCCTCAGTATCTATCCTTCTGCGCTGTGAAGACCTCGGAGGCTTGTTAAAGATCAATAGTGAACAAACAACATCATGAGGACCAAGGAACACACCAGAGAGGTCATGAAGAAATATAAAGAGACTTTCACAGAGAAAGAGTATGGCACAACTGCAAACCTCCCTAGACAAGACCATGCACCTCAACTGACAGTACAAGGAGAGCATTATTCAAAGAAGCAGCAAAGTGGCCCATAGCGACTCTGGAGGATCTGCGGAGATTCACAACTAAGGTGGGAAAATCTGTCGACAGGACACCTATTAGTCATTCATATCATAACATTTATGAAAGCGTGGCAAAAAGAAGCCATTGCTGGAGGAAGCCATAAGATGTCCTGTTCGCAGTTTACCACAATAAATGTAGGAGTCACTGTAAACATGTGGCAGAAGGTGCTTTGGTTCAGATGAAATTTCATTTATAAACTTGTAAATACATATGTGGATAAACTAGGACTGGATATTTCCTGAACAGGTTATAGTGAAACATGGTGGTGGCAGCATCATGCCGTGGGGATGCTTTTTATCAGCAGGAAAAGAGAAGTTCGTCAGAAGTAATGAGAAGATGGATGGAGCTAAATACAGGGCAATCCTAGAAGAGGACCTGTAAGAGGCTTCAAAAGACTTGAGACTCATTACCCCTCCAGCAGGACAGAGAACCAGCATACAACCAGAGCTACTATGGGATGGGTTAGATCAAAACACATCCATGTGTTAGAATGGGCCGGACAAAATCCAAACCTGCTACCAACTATGAATCACTGGTGAGACCTGAAAACTGCAGTTCACACAGTCTCCATCCAATCTGACTGAGCTCAAGCTTTTTACAAAGAAGAATAATCAAAACAAAAAAAAACTGCCTCTAAATATGTAAAACTGTAAGAGACATACCCCCAAATAATGTTTGTACAAATTAAAGGCTCAGGGTTTGAACACAAATGCAAACTACACTTGTAAGATTTATCCAGTATTCGTGAAATGTTTGAACACTAGGTTTTTTTTATAAAAAAAGGGGTTTGTTTAGGTTTATTGCATAAAGTTAGAATTAAGTCAATTTTATTATTATTATTATGTGATAAATTCCTGAAGGGTTTGAAAAGTGTGATTTCTTTTGCAATGATAATTGATTTTCTGAGTTAGATGTCATAGATGTTGAGGCCAATCTGGGATGCAGTTGTCTGTAATTCAGTGTCTGCTCTTGCTCGGTTTTTCATTTTTTATCTGCCCACATCTTTGCGTTGCCCTGCACTTTTTGAGGTAAATAAGATGAATAGCTGTGGTTGCAAAGTGCAGTATAAATACTGAGCATCCCATTTCTTACAAGGACACCTCGCAGTAGTAATTACACTACCAGCAGTAGTGAAATTTGTCATCTTTTTTGTCAGAATTTAAACAAGGATTATTTTAGGATTTTATCTGTATTTGCATTGCTGGCTGTAGCCTCACTAACTGCAGTTTATCTGGCAACTTCCTGCCAGTTTTCAGTCCTCAATTATTAATAAGAAACAGTGCAGAGTATGGGATTTTTTATTCTTGGTACTTCATTTTGAATACAGATCAAGGCCTGTTGAACATACACTACCAGACAGAAGTCTGGATGCACTTTCTCATCCAATTGAAGGATAAAGTGTGTCCGAACTTTTAACTGGTAGTGTACATGCTCTCATACATGTTTGTTTATTGATTTAAATCCACTTTGAGACCTTCAGGCTCTGGATGTTGTTGATTGTTTATGTGATTTGTGATTGAAGGAAAAACTGTGAGAAACAGCTTATCACTCTGATCTCAAGGTTGATGCAACCCAACGCATCTGCAGGCTGCAGAAAATAATAATTCATGACATATCTGCAGTTTGTTTTTGCAACATATATCTCTGAAAGCTGCCTGGAGACCCCAGCATTTAATAGGTTTTCATTTCACCTCACCTTGGCTGTCTGGACACTGGTTATGGACAGCACAGAGTTTATGCCTTCAGTTTTTTAAAAGGTTTTTTTGATGATGTATGATTGATCGAACTGTTTTGAAGCATGAAGAGCAACAGCCTGATTGGGCTCTAATGGAGCTCTGATGGAGTTTTATCAAAGGGTGCCAGGACTGCTGCTGCTTTTCTCAATTGAATTAAAGTATTTTTTTGGACACGGGGACAGCAGTGAGGCGTGATACAGAAAAAAAAGCTCCCACAGTGAGCTGAAACTTGTTAAAGCTGAGTGTGTGCTTATAAAAGCTTGCTTGCAGAGGGACATGAATGGATGGAGAGCGGTGTCAGCGTGGCTTTTGTTGCAGGGATGGGACCTGGCAACTATAGATGTGCTGCTTCAGTGTTCTCACATAATATAAAGAAAGCATAAAAAGACAGTGGCCAGAGGTGGTGTGAGCACAACCGATAAACTGCCAGGCCAGAAGCATTCCTCTGAAACCTGGTGGCGCTGAAGGAAATGCCATTTGACAGGTTTAAAAATAAGCAGAAGGTGAGAACACAGAGATGACAGCAAAAATGAGTAAGAACAAAAGCAAGACCTCTATGTTTCTTGTTTGGTATCTGTCTGAAATGTATTGAAGAGGAGGGGTGGGAAAGAATAAAACCCCTGGTTGATTTATGAAGTTCAGGTTAATTTGTTTCTGTAGCTTGCTCCTATGCACATTTAGCGATTACATAGTTTATGATTTATAGTAGTGGGCTCCCAGTCCCACTCCCACCACCTGCCACACTATAACTCCCACCCATCTGTGTGTGAATTCTCCATCTCTCTCCACTGTTCCTGACATTTGCAGGGTTTTTTTATGTGAGCTGTGCACATCGCAGAGCTCAGCTTAACTCAACCGGCCACCCGTCTTAATCGGCTCTTGGGTCCTGAGAGTTTACGAGCTTACACCAAAGCGGGGCAGCGGGCAGTGACAAATATCTGCCTGTGAAATATATTTTTACGCTGCTTGTAATTACTGTGTTAATCTATCACAAAAAGCTTTTTGGTTCTAATATAACCAAATGTTAAATAGTGTAAGGGAGCTAGACTATATTTGCCATGCACTGTATACATCAGCTGATGCAGTACAAAGTCTGAAGGAAGAACACGATCTCTCTTTTCTCTCAACGTAACCTTTAAAATCCAATTTCTGAAATGTGCACTTACTGATAGTGGCTATTTTTCCACTACAGCAAAAGCCCCAAGCATGGAAAATGTCTGCTTTTGTCCACATCTAATTGGTTTCTATTATATCCGCCATGCTTCATTCGCTTGTATCATCTGCAGTGATTTAGATCCCTCATGTCTGAGAGGGTAAAACCGGCTGGAAACCCACAGCAAGAAAGAAACACAACCCCAGAGCTTTTTAATCCACCCACCATCCCCTGCACCACTTCAATCTGCATATGATGTGGGAGGCAATTGTCTGAACTCACTCATTTCATATGGAGAGCACACACATACCTCACACTCATGCTCACTAATCATTTAAAAAAAGCTATCATGACTTTAATAAAAGCCTGTAAAAATGTGTTTTGACGGCTGAAACCTTTGTTTGCTGCAGGTAGATTGGCATTTAAATGTTTGATGTTTGGTGTTGACAGAAAATGGAAAGCACATTTGGGTTCCAAGAAGACCTGAGGCTTAAAATGCTAAGTTGGATGTTTTCGGGGACAATGTTTGGTTAGGGGGCTGCATGGTGGCGCAGTGGGTAGCACTGTTTGCATTGCAGCAAGAAGGTCCTGGGTTCAATTCCCAGCCGGGGGTCTTTCTGCATGGAGTTTACATGTTCTCCCTGTGCATGCGTGGGTTCTCACCGGGTACTCCGGCTTCCTCCCACAGTCCAAAAACATGACTATTGGGTTAATTGGTCTCTCTAAGTTGCCCTTAGGTGTATGAATGAGTGTGTGCTTGGTTGTTTGTGTGTTGCCCTGCGATGGACTGGCGACCTATCCAGGGTGTACCCCGCCTCTCGCCCATAGACTGCTGGAGATAGGCACCAGCTCCCCCGCGACCCACTATGGAATAAGCGGTAGAAAATGACTGACTGACTATTTGGTTAGCTTTCTTATAGCGCTGCCTGTCTCAAAAAGGATGACTAAATGTTCCACAGATGTCAGAGGAGTCTTTATAAGCTTCTGCTGCCTCAGGCCTTGTGCCAGCTCAGTGCTAATTTCCAGTTTTGATTAAATAAAAAAAGGTCAATCTCGACCTATTTAATTTTATCAGTTGCAAAGAGTTGCAAAGAGAGACGATTCAAGTTTCTTTTGACCTGATTTCGACCTGATTTTTATTGGCTTGATACTCTATAATAGATATTCAACAATCTATTGGACAAAGTTTATTCTGAAGCGTTTTGTTCAGACGTTTACATACACGCATGCATGAATGCATATTAATTTGCAGCTTTTTTATTTCATGCATTTAAACCCTTCTTCAAAGATGGAATGATGGAATTTCAATACATTTAAAGGAATGGAACTGGGTGGGTGAAATAATTTTTAAATATGTTTTTTATTTCACCCTCAAAGAAATAAAAAAAATAAAGAATTCAAAAGATAGTTTGAACTGCAAGCTGTTATGAAAGGGTTCCAAGCCCTCCCAAGAGTTCCTCCCAAAGGTCTCCTCCTGCTGCACTTTACTTCTGTGCTTAGTAGGTCATTACCCCAAATAAACATGGCCATAAATGAAACTGTGCAAATGGGCTTATCTGAATTTTAAATATCCAACCACATCATGAATCTTGGGAATGTTTCAATGATAGTAAAGGCAAAAAAGGGAAATTGCTTGAGCAGTTGTTTTGTGGCTAAGAAATATGAAAGTGTTAGCTCAGTATGTCCAGTGAAACATTTTTTAACAAGGGTCAGACTTAGTGCGATCATTAAACTACACATACCTCAAACAAAAATTATCTGAGCAGACAAAAGTACACAAACCCTACCCCACAAAATTGACAAAATGCAAAGACACATGAGGGTAATCCATACAGTGGTTTGACCAAACAGTCATCTAACTAGGTATCAAGTAGATTTTAAAACCCACACAGTGTGGTCATGCTTGACGCTTGAAGCTTTTCATTGTGCTCCAGGTGGACGCGTGCTGGCACAGTGGTTGCTGTACAGCCTTTTAAAGGTGACTGACACATTTTGCATGTGCACCTTGAGTTTTGTTGGGTTGTAAAATGTAATTAAATAAAGCTAAAATGTAATTTGATTTTGCATGGATCTGTTCTTTTCTTCCTTACATTATAACATAGTTTAAATGAACCTTTTAGGACCAAAGTAACCTATTTTCCCCAATAACCTTTTTCTCAATAACAAGTAATTAAAATGGATTTATAATGACTCGTACCAAATTACATATTGAACAGAGGGCATGTTTACATCGTTTAATGAGGCTATGCATGTAATTGATGTTATTGAAATTCATAGTGCGTTGGATGCAATTAGCCACTAACGCACAAAAAACCAGGTCAGACACCACAGTAAAATCCACCTGTGCTGCAACAAGCTCTTGCATTCTGGTCACTAAAACTGTAATCTGAATAATAATTAGTAGCCTGGACCAAAGGAAAGGATATGTGTTATATGTATTCACAACCTGTGTGCACAAACATCTACCTACTGATTCTGCAAGACACACACACATAAAGCACATCAAGCACTCATATTCACAGACATACACACACTATACCATGTTTCCAACTTCTTTTCTGTTTTCTAAGTTTAAATACACATTACTCTGCAAAAAATATTGACCAGACCGAAGACACAGAGGTAATTTCTGCTTTTTCTATTTTAAATAATTTGTATCGCTTCAGTGTTTCAAAGCTCCATCTAGCAAACCCAACCGATCAGCAGAATGAAGCAGGGAAGTGGCTCAAATGCAATCAGTCACATGGCTTTTCCCATTTTTAAGGAAGCTCCGACACAGTGCCTCAAAAAAATTCCCCGCTGAGCTTAAAGCAAGCCTTGGGGCCTGCTTTAGAATCAATAGATTCTACCCATGTGTGGCAGAGGCCATTACAGGGTGCATAGTTTTAAATTATGGGATTATCCTCCTGTTGGAATACCCTGAGTCCGAATTTCAGCCATCTAGCAGATTTGAGGTGCAATTGAACAACTTTGAGAAAGTCATCTGTCTTCATTATTCCAACCCTTTTTGTGCAATACGTTAGTACCACCGACAGCAAAACAGACCCTCAGCATGATGCAATCACCACCATGCTTGACACTTACTGTTCTTAAGATTAAAAGCTTCACTTTGTCTCTTGCTAACATACGTCTTGTAGCCTAACAGCCCGATAATTTGGTTAGTGATCTGGTGAGTTTTAGTTTGAAGGCATTAATTTTTGGACCATGTGACTCTTTCTTGTTTATGTCAAATGTGCTCCTCTGTGATAAAAAGGCCCTGGTGTTCAAACAGTTTTCATTTCATGTAAGACCTGAAACTCTATGGTTCCTGGGTTGTTTGTGAACAACCCAGGAACCATAGAAGTTCCAACAGGAAAGAGATCCCAAAAACACAAAAAAACTGGAAACAGCTGGGTGAATTGGAATAGCCCTTATCTAAACCCTATTGTACATTTATACACTGAACTGAATTTCTAGACTATGCTGAACAACCTTATAGAAAACTAAGCAATTTAAATAAACTCTACAATGTCAGACAAGAAGAGTTAGCATAATGCCAGAAGCTTGTTGATGGCTATAAAAAGCATGTGGCAGAGGTCCAGCTTAATAAAGAACATTTGATGTAATATCAGTGGTGATCCAGACTAGACGACTCCCCAGTCAATTCAAACCCTCAACCCTCCACCCCACTTTCTGTTTTTTTAAATCTTTGCTTTAGTGTTATAATCCCTCCACTCTGAAAAAGCAAAGTTCAAATGCCTAAAATGTGGCATTCATGCTAAAATGATTGCATTTAAACATTGAATCTGAACCTGGTTCTTAGGTTCAGTGGTTGTGCTGAAACTAGAAAAATGATGTGTAAACTTGAAAAGATTCATTTCCCCCTAATAATCCCACAACTTAATAATTTTTATAATGCATTTGCAGCTGTATATACAGATATATATCGTTTTTTGGCTCATCTTCTGCTTGCTGCAATACGGTAGTTGAAGGTCTTTCAATGTCATACACATCTATTTATCTCCAGCACTTTTTGTAGTAAAGGTAGAAATGAGCTTCGGCACTGCAGGGTTCAGCAATCCTGCCCTAAAATGCCTTTTAGACACGTACTTCTTATTTACTCCTGACAGCTTCAAATTGAAACTGTGATCACATTTTCCACACCGTTCCTCAGTCACGCTCGGTTTTAGAGCTGGTCAGCTTCGCACTGCAGGGAGAAGAGAGTTTTTCTTCTCTTTTCTCTCTGTGCCCTTTCCTCCTGGTATCTCTTTTTTTTCATCTGGCTTACTCGCAGATCCTCGGGGGAGCCATCAATAGCTGACCCTGACATTGTTTTATTTTCCGCTAGTCCTCGAGCCTCCCTCTGTCTCTCAGTGGACTGAACAGTCCATTAGTTAAGACTGAAGACCCGACAGACAGATGACTCGAGATTGGATTAGCAGAACAGAGGAGATAAAGGCTGGATTAATCACAGCGAGTGTGTTTCTCTCTGTGACAGCTATAGACAATTCTGTCATTACTGTCTGATGAGATGGGAGCAAAGAGCTCTGTCTGTTAAGCAAATATCCGCTGTTTGTCTGAAAAATATCACACTTCTGCTGCACAGACGCAGCCTCAATGAAGAACAGCCTCCAGTAAGAAACACATACATATTAATGTATTGTAACTGGGAAACTGGCAATATTTGCACATAATCCAACTGAGGGACAGGCTCGAGTTTTAACATATGAAATAGGCCACATATGAACTCAACTGTTTGTCTGAACACACACAACGAGACATGGAGTTCTGGCCAATTCCTCCTTAGAGAACTAGTGCAACTGAGTCAGGTTTGTACGCCACCTTGCCCAGACACACCTTTTTAGCTCTGCCCATTAATTCTTTGCTGGATTCAGATCAGTGCTTTGTGAGGGTCACTCCAAAACATTGAGTTTGTTGTCCTTAAGACACTTTAACTTGTTTAGCTTAATGCTTAGGGTTACTGCCTATTTGGAAGATCCATTTGCATCCAAGCTTTATTTTCCTGGCTGATGTCTTGAGGTGTTGGCTCAATTTAAGCCCATAATGTTCATTCCTCAGGTTGCCATCTAGTTTGAGAAGAGCTCCAGGACCTTCTACAGCTGATTTAATGTCAGACAGCCAGCAAAGAAGGTTATGTGTCTTTGTGTACATTGTATGTAAGTATCTTATGTTTAATAAACAAGGAAAATGAAAAATAAAAACAAAGAACCAGTTTATATAGGACATCTAACAGTAATGTTCCACTGACCAAAGTGTTTTACAAAGAGAAAAGCTGTAAAATTATGGTAATGTGCAACAATAAAATCCAACAAATTTCCATTAAATTTAATTAGTTTAATTACAAAATTAGTATCGATGCATTCCTTGTAATCTCTAGATTTTGGAGAATTCCTTGTTATAACCCTTAAATAGGGAGATGGCTATTTGAAACTTAAGTCCATAATAAATTTTGAATAAGGCAAAGTCTAATTATTACATGACCTACCAATTTAACAGCATATAAAAAGCACTTTTTTTAAAGCTACACATCATAAAGCACATTGCTAACTGATTCAGCCCCAGCAGCAGCAGGTCCCTCATCATGTCCAGGTGATTGCACTCAGAATGTGAAATAAGACAAGCA